ATACTTTCCAAAAAAATACAACACTTATCGTGGAAATTAGTTATATTATAAATAACTCACCGTCACCGATAGCTTCAAATATAGGATTCATAATCATTCTGAAACCAGAATCATCTAACAATTGGAATGGTCTACCATTTGTGGTAACTAATTGGACACAGGACTCTATCACTTTATTCTTGTTCAAATTTACTTGACTTAGATTTTTTTTAGTTCTGAGAATCATATTGTCAAGAGGTCCAGTTTGATCAGTTTTTAGTTTCTGAAAATTGTAGAAAATTATAATAATTAATATCAAACAAACAATCGAGAGTTAGCAAATTTTAAGATTATGGTGGTAACTAAAATATTCAATTTATTTCATAAAAACTAAAATTAAAACTACTAACCTTAGCTGTTGAATAACGTCCATCATCATTCTGATGTTTTTTGTTTTTTTCATTAGTTAGCAAAATATACTGTTCTTTATGAAAATTTTTGATATGGCTCTCTAAATTTCCAGAATGATTTCCGGTGCGAACAGGATTTGCACAATTCAAAATTTGGCATGTACTTTCGTTGCTGTGAATATCATATTTAAAAAACATTCGTTCTACCGGATTGGATTTAATTTTCGGCATAATTAATCGATTAAACAATTTTATTTTATTGTAATAAGATACTGTTTAAACTTTAAACTTTAAATACTATAATATTATATATTTTTACAACACAATTTTGTGAAAATAACAAAAATTACACGTTAATCGAGTCTACTCACGAGTGTATCTCATACGCCGGATTCACGAACACAATGAACACATTAACAAAGATATAAAAATATATAAATTGCGCTTAAATTTTGTGAACAATGGTTAGTCAAAAACTAAAAATAACTCATGTGATAATGAAATATAAATTGAGTGGTTTACGCCATATTATCATATATTATACTTCTTTATCTACGGATAACCATATAAAAGGTGAACATTTGTCTATTAGTTGTACTTGTGTTCAGACCAACTAATAAGGGCCCGTTTTACCACGGTTGGGGAGAGGGGGAGTTTTGTGGCATACGTGAAATAGGGAATGGTAAACAAGCTGACCCCGCGCAGAATACCCCACCATCGTCTTGGAACCATTTTCATTATATTGGTAACCTTTGGGTCTAACATCATGTTAGTGCACGGAACCATTTCCTTGTTTTTTCGGAGGTTCAGACTTCAGATGGTAGAGAACCAAGCCCCAATCAGCTGATCGAGTTTCGCTTCTATATTGTTCTATGGTGTTACCATCTCCGGTTAATACTTAATAATCGGTTAATACCTAACCTAATAGTCAGCAGCTGATAACAGATTTATACCTACCGAAGTCCGAATTCTGTTAGCAGCAGCCAGCATTGAGTAGATGCCTGATGCAGTCTACAGACCACGGCCATTACATTTTATGTAGGTGATACTATGATGGTAGTTACCTCAGTTTGTAGTATTTTTGTACTTGATATGCATTGCATTTGCATATAACTTAGGACATTATTGGTTTTTATTTTTGTTTGTTCTTCGCGTCGGGATTTATGTTTTTCTCAAAATAACGAAGTTTTCTATAGGTACCTATTATTAATTAGGTAATAAACGTTATTTATAAAAAGTAACAATAAGTAATAACAATAATATTGGTACAATAATTATTATCATTATTGTTACTTTTTATAAATACATTACTAAGAAATGTAGAACCCGTTGAACGGGTTTAATACTATTTACCCAGACATTATTTATAAATATTTTCTACTTTTGTAAGAAAGCCTAATTTTAATATTGATAATGCGTATTATTTCTTTGAAATATTTATGGCTATTTTAAACTTTCATAGTTCCATGTACATTTAATTAATTTTGATTAGTACCTAATATTAAAGTCACTTTATTATTATAGTCCTATCAACCAACAGTTCTACAAAACTAACTAAATTCTAATTATATTCTATAGATAGTTTTTAATATTTTCGTAATTTCCTTTGTTGTCTGACATGTTTGTTATGATTCAACTTTTAATCGTTAATCGTTTTTTGTTGCGTTATTCGATATTAATTTTAATCGTTTATCGTTACTGTTCCGTTATCCGTTATCCATTTCAATCGTTTATCGTTTCTGTTCCGTTATCCGTTATCCATTTCAATCGCATATCGTTTACCGATATGTTATCCGTTATTCGTTTCAATCGTTTGTCGTTTACCGATATGTTATCCGTTATCGATTTCAATCGTTTTTTGAATCGTTTAACGTTATAATCGTAACGTTATGAAAACGTTTTGAAGCCCTGATTTCAAGTGATGTAGATTTATATAAAATAAAATTATTATTTTGCAGTTTATTTTGACCTATGTACATCTTTAATGCATTTTTAGTAATTTTCACTACTTTCAAGGACATTATTTTATATATATTTTTTTAAATTTAGCATTTTTTAAGAGTTAAAAAAATTTCAACTAGGTACCTATTCAATTTTTTTCTTTAATTAAATGATTGACAACTACAATTTTTTGTCGTATGTTATCGTTATGTAATTTATTAATTATTATTAATTATGGTAGGTAAATGATAATATCCGATGACGATAACAATATTACGGACTACGCGTTGTACTAATAGCAGCTAATCGACGGAAAATAAAGTTTAATAAACCTTTGCGACAAACGTCTCAAACATTTTTATTTTAGAAATTATGTTTTCTAATACGGTGTATAATACCTCAGTCTATCCCCTAACGAGTGATGAGTATAGAATAATTTTGAATTGTGCTGAGGGCTGAGGCAAATAAATGGTGTGCTACGCCACCTGTAAAACCAAATCCTGGAGACATTATTTTATACAAAAACGAGAAAAAGCCTTTAGATTCAGTGGCGTATTTAGGAATTTTTATTGTTTATAAAAATACTATAAACACGATTTAGTGTCTAGGTATATATAGGTAAATTCTTGAATAATAGAAAAAAAACCAAGGGGGGGATTGATCCCCCAAATCTGCCCCCCCATAAATACGCCACTGTTTAGATTGGAAAAGTGACCAATATAGATGGCGGGATGTTGGAATAGCGAAACAGCCCAAACAGTCACCATTTCTAAAAGTAGGTAAGTTTTTCAATATATAATAACCGATTTTATATACCTAATGTATTCATGTATACCAATGAATTACTATACATACCAGTGGAGGACGCAGAATTCGTTAATGGTGGGTGGGGGGTTAACATATTTTATATACAATGATCCTAGTCTAAATATAATATTCCAAAAAAAAAATCATTATTCGTATTTTACTTGGGGGGGGGGTATGGTTTAACCCCCCCACCGTCGGTACGCCACTGATACATACTAATATTATCAGTGGCATCAGTTGTTAGTAATCCATTATTTTATTTAACAATATTATTAAAATGCCCACCTAGACACTAACTAGACACTAATATAGCAATAGCCAATAACAATTAACAATTAACATTTTTTATGTGTAGAGAAACAAATAAACAATATATAATATGTACATAATATTATCTAACACAGTAGGTACCTATATTATATTATTATATTTCATCATTTATTAACAAAATAATGTTACATAATGAATGCTGCGAAATGTTAATACATAAATGCGCGTACAGACGTGGTAGCGCTTTCCCGTGCCACGCGTAAAATACGTTTCCAGACACGGAATTTATTTATTTGAAAAAGTTTCATAATTTTCTATATACTATTGTGGGTTTTAGAGCAAATCAGCAGTTTTCCTGGACGGCGATGCGTGATTTTACTGATTCGATTATGTGAATAAATTACTGATTTGTTTATAGCTACATGGGTTTTCGAGGTAGGCACTCTAAATTTTCACGATATTTAAATAAGGTACACTATATGCAGTGTAAAAAGTTTCATCATTTTCTATATATTATTGCGGGTTTTAGAGCAAATCAGCAGTTTTCCTGGACGGCGGCGCGTGATTTTACTGATTCGATTATGTGAATAAATTACTGATTTGTTTTATAACTGCATGGGTTTTCGAGGTAGGCACTTGAAATTTCCAAGGTATTTAAATACGGTACAACTCATACCGTGTAAAAAATTTCATAATTGTTGGTAAGTTTTTAAGTTTGTGATATTTCTGCGACAAGTAACCCGGAAGTGAAAATCGACGGGGCAACCTGGAATTTGGTAGGGAGTTGGAGGGGGGTATTATAATGGCACTTGTGAAGTTTGAACTTTTTCGGACTTAGTTTGCCCATGCTACGGGCGCTATGGCCCCAAATCAGTAAATCAGTAAATCAGTAAATTAGGCAGTACCCATCAATACTATCCAAAGTACAGGAAAGTAAAAGATTGTTTAAAAACAGTAAACGGAATAATGAAACAGTTACCCATAAACAAATGACATTGACTTCTTTTAAAAGCAGTATCACAAAACAACATGTAAGTTTAAATCTAAAACTGTGAGTATGTATATACAGAGTCTTTAATATGTATGAACTTAAAAGTTTTATCTTCCATTAAAATATAGTTCATAATTTATATATAAATACTATAAGGTATTGTTACTTTAATTTATTAAATTTATAGTTTATAGTAATGCACTTTTTAGAATAAATCAAATGTATAATAATTGTACAGTCGTCCTTTAAAATATTATATATTTACAACCTATTTTAACAGTTATAATATTTAATAATATTAATATTATTTTAGACTATACTAATGATAATATTGACAGTAATTTTTACAAGCAATACCTATGTCCCTTATTATTAATTTATTATACTAAAATAAAAAATGATATTAAGAATAGGTAGGTACTTAAAAAGTTCATACATATTGAACTAAAATTCTACACATACTGTATTGTATCTTAATTATTATGTTGTATTATTGTAACTTGTCTACATCATGGAATAGTTTATTTATCCAAATAAATGATTAAAGAAAGATATATTTTTTTTAGATAAGTCAATTAGTGTTCAAATATATTGTAGAGGAAATGCGACCTCTAGTCACCTGTGAAAAACCAGCCTTTCATCGTCTCATTAAAGGACTAACAGGAATTACAGATACAGCTTTACTTCCAAACCGTAGAAGTTTATCTAAAGAGCTAAAACTTAAGTATAATAACTATGTATCAATGTTAACTAGTTTAATTGATAAACAAAATTACATATGTAACACTGCAGATATATGGAGCGCGAATAACAAAAATTTTATGGGGATGACTTGCCATTTTATTGATAACAAATAATATAAACATTATTCATATGTATTAGGTTGCAGAAGAATTAAAGGCAGCCACAACTTTTTAAATATTGCTGATGTCATAAATGAAATCTGTGAAACTTATCAAACAAACAATTCTAAAATCAGTTATATTATCACTGACAATGTAAGTAACTTCGGAAAAGCTTTTCGTACCTTTTCAAGTGTTTCTACCACTTCATCTGATTATTCTGATTGCAACCATCTAGGTGACTTTAATAGTGACACTGAAAATAATAATAACTCTGATAGTGTTGAGTATATTAATGTTGGTGATTTGCTTTCTGAGTCAAATAATTTAAGTAACCCGGAATATAACAATATTTGTTTGCCCAATCATTTAACTTGTTGCGCACATACACTGAATTTAATATCTACTACAGATATTGGAAAAATTAAGGATACAAATTATTTAAAAATTTCTAAAATTACTTTTAATAAATTGAATTCGTTTTGGAATCTACTTAGTAGGAGCACTGTGGCCTCGGACAAAGTGTTTGATCATTGTAAGGTTAAATTCCCTGTCCCAATAATTACTAGATGGAACTCTATGTTTATTGCAGTAAAAAAAATATTTGCTTTTAAAGAAAAACTTATTATTGTGTTTGAAGAGTTGAATTTAGTTAAATTAAAAACGGCAGAATGGATATTTTTAGAAGAATATTCTAAAATAATGGAGCCATTAGCAGTTGCTTTAGATAAACTACAAGGTGAAAAACGCAGTATTCTTGGATATGTTGCTGCAACTATTATTGTTTTAAGACGTTTATTAATTCAATCAACACACTTGCAGTATTGTAAGCCTTTAAGTTTATGTTTAATTTCTAGCCTCGAAAAAAGGTTTGATTATTTGTTTAATTTAAGTATTCCGAAAAGCAAAGATTTCATTATAGCTACTATGAGTCATCCAAAATTCAAGGGGAGTTGGGTTCCAGTTAGATATATTGATTTATGCAAACAATTATTCATGAATGAATGTAAATTAATCTTTATATATAAAAATGGAGACAAAAAATTTGAAATAGCATCAGTTGAGAACGGCTGGGCCGATTTTGCTCAAATTTTTTTTAAATGATAGAGAATGTTGGTGAGCGGGTTTATAGCATAAAATATGGACCTAACTCATGTGAATTAGAGATTTGGAGACAAAAACTGAGTTACACCGGTGGCGCTCTCTAGCAGATAAAAATAAAAATATAAATATAATATAAATAATAATACAAATATCGATAATAGCAGGGCTGGAAATCGATTAATATCGATAAAAATCAAAAAAAAAATATTAGAGAACAGCTGGTCCGATTTGTCTCAATTTTAAGATGTTCGTAATTAATAGGTGAAGGTTTTTAAGAAGGAAAATTTTTAAAAAGTCAACTGAATAATTAGAAAAACTGCAATAACTATTTATTGATGTCTGGGATTTGAACTTGATACCGTTGTCTTTATTTACTCTATGGTGTATTATATTATATTGATTGCTATTGGTTAATCAGGCATGTTTGTTGATTTTTATTATTATTTTTTGTCAATATATATATATATATATATATATATAAATGAATGATGGTGTGTAGATTAGACCTATGCGAAGAAGATACGCTAATTTAAAAAGGGTTAAATTTGGTTTTTTTTTATTCATCTGATTTTAGTACGGTTAGGTCAGGTTAGGATTTATAGGTATGTGGAATTAAGTAAAAACTTCAACCTTGGTATAACTTTGGTACTTTTTGAGTTGAATCATATACTTACGTACAAACAGCACGGGGTCCGCGATCTACCACAGGTAGATTGCCTACCTGATAATATACTGCTGCGAAACAGAATTTTTATTCCGGGCAACAGAAAAGTTAAGATAAATCTAGAACATCATACACCGAATATTAAATAACGCATTGAACAATGTTTGAGTCATTAGAGTTGGTACATTTAACGGGAAACGAAGTGCACGGGATCAGCTAGTAAATTATAATTCTGATTTTACCGAAAATGTATCTTCTTCGGATAACAGTGATACTAATAGTGATTCTGAATTGTATAGTAGTGTATGTTCCCCAGATAACTCATTAACTTATGATTCCAGCAACCTAGAGTTAGGTGTTAGAAATTCAAATATATCAAGTGTTCAAGCTTTATCTAAAAAACTGAACTAAATGTATTGGATTCATTTCCTGTGGTTAAAAAAGTATTTTTTAAATTTAATACTTCAATACCATCTTCTGCGCCTGTTGAAAGGCTCTTTAGTGGGGCTATTCAGGTCTTAACTCCAAGGCGTAATCGCCTTGAAGATAAAAATCTTGAGATGCTTCTTTGCTGCAAATGTTTAATGCAACAAGAACAATTTTAATTACTTATAAAGGGTATATTATGTTATATGAATTTTAATGTATGACAAAAGATAATTTATAAAAAAAAATAAATATTATTTAATATTTTTAGATAAGTGCCTAACATTATTTTTTTCTTGAAATTAAGTATCACGTATAATTATTCATTTTTAAGACCTGTTACTTTCCATTGAGCATATTATTATTATTATTATTATTATTTTATTATTATATAATATTAATTGTATTGTTATTACTTTGAGCAATGAATGTTACAACTCAAATAAAAACTATAAAAAGTAATATAGAAATTTATTAAAAAGTGTAAAATTTCCTTATTTTAAAATAAAAAGCATATTATTATAATTATTATTTTATCATTATATTATATTAATTGTATTGTTATAACTTTGAGCAATTAATTGTTACAACTCAAATAAAAAACTATAAAAAGTAATATAGTAATTTATTAAAAAGTGTAAAATTTACTTATTTTAAAATATAAAGCCTATTATTATTATTATTTTATCATTATATAATATTAATTGTACTGTTATTACTTTCAGCAATGAATGTTACAACTTACAACCCAAATAAAACACTATAACAAGTAATAAATATAATATATACAAGTATATTTATTTTTTTACACTTTTCCTGTCTTATTAATTTAATCTTTACTTGGTTTAAATATAATATAATATAGTACATTAATTTTTAAGTTGAAAGCTTTGATTCAGTGCAGAAATAAACACATTGGATTTTTTAAAAATGTGCCTGAAAAAACATTTTTTAAATTATAGAAGCAACATTGAAGCAAGATTGAAAAACTTTAAACACCTTAAACAAATACAAAATGTTCTTTACATGATAAGCTTGATGCATCTTATTAATCTTAAACAATTTAAATTTTAAAATATTGTTTTTAAAAATTTATCTGCTTTTTATCTAGATAAATTCTAATTATCTTTTATCTAATAAATAGATAATTTTGGTAGGGCTTATTTTTATCTTTATCTAGATAGATTTTTGGTCTATTATCTTTATCTTTATCTAGATGACAAACTATTTATCTGGGCTCAACACTGAATGTAGATAATAAAAGCAATAGCTGTGGTTGTCAATTATCTAAATATTGGGAACTTTTATACTTTACCGGACACCCTTTTTTTTGCGATTTTTTTTTGGGGACTTTGTCATATTTTTGACGAAAAAAATTATGTTGAAATCAGATTTTGGGGCTCGGACTTAGTTTCGAAGTTATCGGCGAATGAAGTTGGCTATTCTAAGTTCACTGTGCCTATCATGAAGATTGATGTTTTTGTTTTTGAAACTTGTGCTTTTATGGAGATTACGGTGCGAGGTTATCCACTTTATCAGGTAATTAAAAACGAAAATATCCCTCGATCTGCTATCCAAATCCACCTAAATTAAATTAAAAATGTATATTTGTTGCGAAAATGTTATATTTAATGACGGCCGCGGCGGTGACGACGACGACGACGACGACGAGTGAAGTCCAAAAATGTTTATTCTTATATAATGTATAAGAATTGTAGTTGATAGTGAATAAAAATTAAAATAGTTGAAAAAATTTGTTGTGCATAGGAAGTGCACAATCTGTTTTCATATAATCTGTGGCGTTACTGCGCATGCGCTGGGACTTGTGATTATTCGCGTGTATGGGCAGTGATGCCTTGCTAGCGGCACTCGTCGCTACGCTCCTCGGCGCCGTCGCTCCGCTCCGCAAATCGAAAATATCCCTCGACTTGCTGTGCAACACCACCTTAAGTAGGTCACAGGGTAAGTTAGGTCGTAGTATGGGCAGTGATGCTTTGCTAGCATCAATCTTCATGATAAACACAGTGAACTTAAAATAGCGAACTTCATTCGCCGATAACTTCGAAACTAAGTCCGAGCCCCAAATTCTGACTTCACCATCGTTTTCAGCGTACTTACCTACATATATTTCAATTACAAAAATTGCAAAAAAAAAGGTGTCCGGTAAAGTAAAAATATACCAATTATTTTATATTATTGTTTCTGTGACATCCATCGTCGACTTGAGCTGGGATAATATTTTATAAAGTATATAATTTAACTAAACCAACCCAGCCACCGTGTATCAACTCTTGATTAATATACATTTATATATTATAATATGCATGTACCAGGTACCTACAGACCGACTCTGTGGGTAGATCGTGTAAGCAGTAAAATATAATATAATAACGTAGTTTCTTGAGTCAAAAAATCGAACTTTTCGTCGCATATTTTCATTTCCGTTTATAGTAATAACAACACTGTCCGCTGCCCGATCTCCTCCGCGGAACTCGACTCGAGCGAAGTACTGACGGGGGCGGCTTATAAATTTAGCGGGGAACGCCAATAACATCCAAACAGTAAGGGTAATACCACTAAAACGGGCCAAGAAACGAATTTTAGGAAAAAACGGCAAAAAACAACGCGACGCATGTATTTATTGTTGTATATAGCGATACTTACACGGTACCTACTCTCTTTTCCTCGACGCCACTCTTTCCCGGGACTCGTCTGTGAAAATGTAGGGCCACGCGCCGGCTATAAATTTAGCGAGGAACGCGAATAAGATTCAAAAGGGGAGGGTAATACGACCAAAAGGAGCTAAAACTCGAATTTTTGAAAAAAAAAAAATAGAAATCAAACTCTTCGTCGCTATTATATTCACGCCCATGTATAGTAATAAGGACACTGTCCGCTCTGCTAAATTATTTGACGGGGAACGCGAATAAGTCTTCAACGGGGAGGTCCGAAGTCAGTAGAGGCGTTAGGACTCGAATTTTGAAAATAATCAGAACATTTACGTTAAAAATGATAAAACGGAAGTGATAGCGAAACGACGAAAAAAAAAAATTCAATTTATCACGGCCGCCGCAAATTATCGATATTCCGACGGCCTTGCTCGAACCCTCAACCCTCGAGACACCCGTCCTAACGCCTCACCAACCTAGCCACCTACTGAGATGTAAATCAGAGTCAAATCTATGACTCTTAAGCCGCGTTGCCGTCCCCGCGAAAGGCGAACGCCGTTTGGTCGTCAGTCAAAAGGCGTCGCGGGCGATCCGAGCGCGTTGGGAAGCGGACTACCGACTACCGTCTCCGCGGCCCTAGGACGTATAAAGGTCGATTCGCAGTTTCGCACTATACGGAACGTCACCGATCGGCAACGTCACGTCAAAATATCTTACTATGTATTTATACCGCAATGTTCACATACACCGGCAACATTACGTAACGTCAACGTCACGGAACGGCAACGTTTATCGAAAACTATATTTTAACGTGACGTAACCGGTCCGTTCTTGTCCTTACGGATAGTATGAATGTCAACAAGGAACGTTTCCGTCAACAATTTAAATAAACTATATTTTGAATGTGTAAGCTCGTTAACTAAAAATTATAATTTTTGAATATTTAAATACAAAAATATAGACATATAAAGTAAGTAAACAATATTTATTTAATTCTCCAATTTACAGTAGAAAATGAAATAACATTAATCATTCGATTAATTAAATAACATATTAATAGTTTAAACATTAAATAGTCATGAACGATGAGATGTTGATTGAGGAAGTACGCCAATATCAAGAACTGTATGATATGACGCATAAAAAATATAGCGACAACATTCACAAAGATAATATCTGGAGAAAAATTGGTAGTGAATTGAAAACAACAGGTACCTAGATATAAACTTAATTTAACTAATATTACTTATTATTAGGTACTTAATATTACTTTTACAGCTTTTATTTTTTAATTTTACATAAACTTATCTCTCTGCCATGGTAATGATCCATTTTCAGAGTTAAAAAAAGTTTTATAGGTTTCACGCACATTAAAAGCAGTAGTGAGGGCATTTCCACCTTGTCTATGTATACGTCCCCAATTAGGTTCACATTCTGGTGGGTCTAAATGTTGGGTAATTAAAATATTATCTTTGATATAATTATGCAAAATACAAGTAGTTAATATAATATTGTCAATATTTTCGGGTAAAGATTTTATACTTCTAAAAAAGATTCGAAATTTTTGCACCAAGTTTCCGAATGCGTTTTCGGATACGCGCCTAGCTCTTGACAATCTATAATTGAATACTTGTTTCTGTATATCACCATTAATTACAGAACCAGGATAAGGTCTTAATAGATAGGTTTTTAGGGGAAATGCCTCATCCGCCACAATGACATATGGCACTGGACATTGAGTTCCGGGAAGATTTTTATCTTTTGGAACATGTAGTTTATTTTGTTCCAACGCTTTTCCTAAATTTGAATTGGCAAATATTCCACCATCACTATTCTTACCGTAGGATCCTACATCTACAGCAATGAATTTATAATTTGCGTCAACCAAAGCTAACAAATTAATAGAAAAAGTTTTCTTACAATTGAAATATTGGGAACCACTGTTCGGAGGAGCAAAAATTTCCACGTGTTTCCCATCTAATGCTCCTAAGCAATTAGGAAAGTTCCACATTTTCCAGAAGTCATCAGCAATTTTTTCCCAATCTTTTTCCTTTGGTTGCGGCATCACTTCAGCTAACAATTCGTCTACTATAGCTTTGCATACTTCTTTAACAATGTAATGAACAGTCGAATGCCCCAGCCGATAACTGAATGATATAGTTTGAAACGAATCACCAGTCGCTAAAAACCTAAATAATTAATTTTACATAACTGTTAAACTGTTCGGACAATATAATAAATTTAAATTTAAATTAACAAAAATGTTTTAATTTATAAGTTATTTTTATTCAAGTAATTACCAAACATGCGTTAAAAGTATTAAACCGTATACGAATAACCAAAATATTAGATTCTGAGCAGAGCGATTTATCTTGAATCGATTTTATTATTTTGTTATAATTCAAAGACGAATAACCGTAGATACCTACCTGCAGTTTTTACCAAATGTTTATATTACGATTTTCTATTCATAATTAAATATTCAAAATATTTCGACACGTTTTGAGCTATTTATATATACATTTTAAATACAAATTTTAGATTCTGAGTGTAACGATGAATGTATTGATTTCACAATGATGTGTGTTTTTTTTATTTTTAAATTTTAAATTTTAAATTTTTTTATTTTTGTGTCTGTTATCACTTTTTAGGACAGTAAAAATGCTTAGATTTTCTTCAACAGTATCTCTTATGATAGGAAAGTGAATCTAGTTGGTGCTTCAGGAGGTCAACTTACATCCACTTACCAACCTTTTTTTTCTATAATATTGTCAATAACAAATTTTTTGTTTGCCAAAAGTCTTTGAAAATTAAATACAAGGTGCTTCGTAAAATTTTATAATCACAGTTTAAAAAAAATAGAGATACATAGGCACGATTTTTTTTAAAAATTCATACATTTTTTAGTTTCTATAGCTAAGGATTGAAACTTTAAAACACTTTTTGTTATAACCAAATTTTATATTTTTAATAGGCCCAGCGTGCAAGAATAGATGGATCTCATTACGTGACCAGCTGAGAAAAGCAATGAGAAAAAATATTACAAAAAGTGGACAAGCCGCTGAACTTAAAAAGAAGTGGAAGTATGAATATTCAATGTCATTTGTAATTCCATTTTTTAAAGAAAGAGAAACACAAACCAACATAGCAGAACCTGATAGCTTGAGTGACGGATCGAATGATGAACACGAAGGTATGGAGAGCGTTGTTATTACTGGGGATACTTCAGAACAAAATTCTAATAACAACATAAATCAGAAATCTACAGCATCTCCAAAAAAAAGTTCATCTAGGTATTTGCTAAACAAAAGAAAATTTAAAAAAACAGAGACAGCTTCATCAGTACTAATGAAATATTTAGTAGAAAGTGATAAGCAAGAAACAAAAGCCACTGCTAATGATCATACAATAGACATATTTTTCAATAGTCTAGCCGCTACTGTAAAAACTTTTTCACCCGAGTACCAGCATATGGCAAAGTCAAAACTTTTCAATGTTGTATCCGAACTAGAGTGGGCACATTTACAAAGTAAGAATACAAATTACCAAGTGCCAACATCAATGAATTTTCCAGCTCCAGACAACAGGTCAAATATACACCCAATACCATTTATTCAAACTCAAAACATCCAACAAGCAGTCCATCCACAACAACAAATTTATGAAATTTCACGTGCGTCAAACTCATTTACTCCAAATGATTCATTTATGTTTAGTCACACTCAAACACCTTCACCTGTAAGTTCCGGAAGGTCATCTGCACAATCTTATTTTGAAAATTTTCAGCCAAATTAACTTTTAACACAGTTAAAGTAATAAGTTTGTTAATAATAATATTAACTATTTTGTTTAAATACAAAAAATACAAAATATAAAATACTAATTTTTTTATTTCTTACCTTAAGCAGACCATTAGTTTTTCCTTGGGACTAATAGCTTCTCGGAATGTAGTGTTTTGTTTTTGAATTTTAGTTTGAATTTTAGTTAAAAGTTCATAAAATTGACTTTGTGACATCCTAAAATATTTATAGAAAGAAATTTCTTCATCTACTAATCTTATATAATAAAACGCTAATAACGCGTATAAGATCCGCGGGGAGCGCTCACGGCATTCCGCGTTTCTTCCATGACGACTAATCACAATACTTCCCGCGCGTTCGCTATAAATTCCGCTCGCTTATCTCCCTTTTCCTTATCGACGAATATTTTCGAACATTGTTATTATTATTAAAAAAAACCCGTGTTTTTCAATTTTTTGACGTGATAATAACGTCTTATAAATCGATTACCCCGCGACCGTCGGGCGGAGTGGGGGGACCCATTAAACGAGTAATTATTTTTGACCAAGTATAACTTAGCCGGTATTCGACTTAGAGACCCCGTACCAATGGGCATCTCAATTTTTTAGGAACCAGATGAATTTTCAACATTAGGGAACCAAAGCCCCCACCCCCCCACATTTTGAGTTGAGTATAACTCAGCCGGAATTCAAGTTAAAGACCTCGGACCAAGGGGGAACCCATTCTTTTTATGAATACTACCGTTTTCCGCTTTAGGGAACGGGGGCACCTCCTCCCCCCTTTTTGGATTTTGCTTTTTGATGGATTTTGGTCCGGGAGAGTACTAACACCCACCTCGCCAAGGGGAAACTCGGGGTTTTGAGTTTTTGATAGGATTTATTGGGATTTTCTTAAATATTAAAAAAATATTAAAAATATTAAAAAACTTAAGGAAAGTGATAAGAATTTTATTTTATCGCCGCGATCACGGCGACGCGGCTTAAGAGTCATACATTTGCCTCGGAATTTCATCTGAGTAGGTGGCTAGGTTGGTTAGGCGTTAGGATAGGTGACTCGAGGGTCGTCGTTTCGAAACCGCCGCCGGGACAATAGATAATTTGCGGCGCCCGTGATAAATGGAATTTTTTTTTTCGCGTTTTTTTTTGGTCACATTAATCATGTGTTCCGATTTTTTTTCAAAATTCGCGTTATTATAATATTATATATATCGGTATTTATATATATTTATTTTGCAAAAAAATAATAATTAACATTTAATTAATACTTGATTTTACCGTGACCAACCTACAATATAATTGTAATGTAGTACCTACTTGGTATATTACAGTTTTTAGGTAATTCCGATTGGGTTAAATATTGCTACAGATTATAAATACTGTTTAATACGATATTAATAAACTATATTAAAAAATAGTACGACTATATGACTGCTCCATTTGCCGTTTTTTTTCGAAAATTCGAGTTTCAGCCCCTTTCGGTCGTATCACCCTCCCCGTCGACGACTTATTCGAGTTCCCCGCTAAATTTATAGCCGGCGTGCGGCCCTACTTTTCCACAGACGAGTCCCGGGGAGGAGAGGCGTCGCGGAAACGAGAGTAGGTACCGTGTAGGTATCGCTATAAACAGGCATAAATACATGCGTCGAGGCGTTTTTTGGGGAGCCGTCACTGCGTTATCTTTCCTCCTTATCACTTTTCACGGTTTTGACCATTTTTCACAATTTTTTTTCAACATTTTTGAGGTTTACCCCCCTCGGGTGCCTCGGGAGGGCCCGTTTGGACCTTATTCGCGTTCCTCGGTAAATTTATAGACGGCGCGCTGTCCTACTTAATTCCCGGCCGGCCCGCGGCGGCAGATATCGCGTGCGATACGAGCGCTGCCGTCGCGCGTGTTTTTTGCCGTATTTTTTAAAAAATTCGAGTTTTATCCCCTTTCGGTCGTATCGCCCTCCCCGTTTGGATCTTATTCGCGTTCCCCGCTAAATTTATAACCGGCGCGAGGCCCTACTTTTTCAAAAACGAGTCCCGGCAAGGAGCGGCGTCGCTTAAACGAGAGTAGGTACCGTGTATGGTATCGCTATATACAGGCATAAGATAAGTGCCAAAAAATTGTATAGTGTATTCATTTATACATACCTACGTTTAATATGATAGTATTACATTTCAATGAAATTTGTTATTCACCAATATAATTATCTATTTGTTAATTTGATTTAATTCTCATAATTAAATAAATATACATGGTAGGTATATCAGATTTGAACGGCCGTTTCGAGCACTTTTCGCTGTAGGTGGATTGTCCGTTCAGGAATCGACTTTCACCCGAGATGACTGATAGGCGATAGCTAGACACTCAAACTCAGAACCCGAATTTCCGATTTCAACACACATACGAGAACCGGACATACACACCCGGTGCATGGTCTGCGATCCGACGTAGTCGGATTGCCTACCTGACTAGCTACTTGCATACGAGCGACTTACACCCCCACTGCATCTGAAACTCGGGAATCGACTTTCACCCGAGATGACTGATAGCTAGACACTCAAACTCAGAACCTGAATTTCCGATTTCAACACACATACGAGAACCGGACATACACACCCGGTGCATGGTCTGCGATCCGACGTAGTCGGATTGCCTACCTGACTAGCTACTTGCATACGAGCGACTTACACCCCCACTGCATCTGAAACTCGGGAATCGACTTTCACCCGAGATGACTGATAGCTAGACACTCAAACTCAGAGAACCCGAATTTCCGATTTCAACACACATACGAGAACCGGACATACACGCCCGGTGCATGGTCTGCGATCCGACCTAGTCGGATTGTCTACCTGGCTGGCTGTGTCTTACGATCGACTTGAATCGCGTGACTTACGACTAGATACTCTTCCGAGTTCAAAAATTACCGCTTAACCAGTGCTGCCAACACGACAAAACACAATACCCGACGACCCCCCTTCCCGACGCAGGCTGAATCAAAAAACCCAGCATCGCCGACAAAGATGCACCACCGCCCACACAGTCTTTCCGCCGTAGGCGGGATGACAAACACCGGAATCTAGTTCTTTAAATAATGTGTGAAATTCTCCTACGAATTTCCTCGCAGTAAACATTTTTCGTACCCACGTTTTCTTAGTACGATTAAATTTTTTTTCTTCGTCGTCCAAAATTAAGGCAATCATTGCTAATTGTTTTTTAGTGAACTTCGGCATGATACAAATACGAATATTTAATAAAAAAAAAAATGAATTTAAAACACAGAATGTACTAGACCTAGTTTAACCTAACAGAATTCTGGACTGGATGGACTGATGGCTTTTCCGTCACGTTACCGATAATGCGAATGTATTCTATTTTTGACGTGACGTTGCCGATCGGTGACGTGACGTTGACGTTCCGTATAGTGCGAATCGACCTTAAAACGCGAGAATTGCAAAAAGAAAATCGAACCTCGAGACGCATGTATTTATGCCTGTATATAACGATACGTAATCGGTACCTACTCTCTTTTCCGCGACGCCGCTCCACCCTGGGACTCGTTTTTGAAAAAGTAGTATTAATTTAGCGGGGAACCCGAATAAGTCGTCGACGGGGAGGGTGATACGACCGAAAGGGGCTAAAACTCGAATTTTCGAAAAAAACGGCAAAAAGAGCAGTCATAGTATAGTCGTACACTCGTACTACATAACTGCCAGAGTTTAATCAGTTCTTTTAGATCTATTAGTTTATTAATATCGTATTAAACAATATTTAACCAAATCGGAATCACTTAAAAACCGTAATATATCAAGTAGGTACTACAATATGTGTCATATAGGTTAGTTATATTATATTGTATTTATAAAAGAAACATATAGGTGCATTGGTCACGGTAAAATCAAGTATTAATTAAATGCTAATTATTATTATTATTTAATATATTAATTTATAATATATTAATATTTTTTTGAAAATAAATATTGTTAAGCGAATTATAATATATATAAATACCGATATATTAATATAATAACGCGAATTTTGAAAAAAATCGCAACACTTTCGTTAAAAATAATTAATGTGACGAAAAAAAAAATTCCACTTATCACGGCCGCCTCAAGTTATCGATTTTCGGGGGCGGGTTCGAACCCACGACCCTCGAGTCACCTGTCCTAACGCCTAACCAACCTAACCACCTACTGAGATGAAATTCTGAGTCAAATGTATAACTCTTATGCCGCGAAGCCGTGCTCGCGAATGGCGAACGCCGTTTGGACGGCCGGCAAATGGCGTTTGAGCGGGCGATCCGACCGCGTCGGCGAGAAGACGACTGGCTCCGCCGCCCTCGGACGCATCATACTTAGCTTTGCGAAAAAAATCGAACCTCGAGACGCACGTATTTGTGCCTGTATATAGCGATACATACACGGTACCTACTATTGTTTAAGCTACGCCGGTCCTCCCCGGGACTCGTTTTTGAAAAAGTAGGGCAGCGCGCCGGCTATAAATTTAGCGGGGAACGCGAATAAGATCCAAACGGGGAGGTCAATAAGCCCCAAAAAGCCTAAAACTCGAATTTTCGAAAAAAAACCGACAAATAACGCGGGCGACGGCGGCGCTCGGTCCGCACGCGATATCCGCCGTGGAGGGCCCGCAGGGAAAAAAGTACGGCGGACTTATAATAGTAAATTTAGCGAGGAATGCGAATAAGGTCCAAACGGGGCCGCCCGAGGCCCCGAGCGGAGTAAAATTCGAACATTTTGAAAAAAATCGTGAATTTCGAGAAAAATCGTGAAAAGTGATAAGGAGGATTGATAACGCAGTGACGGCTCCGCAAAAAAACGACGCGACGCATGTATTTATGTCTGTATATAGCGATACATACACGGTACCTACTCACGTTTAACCACCCCTGGACTCGTTTTTGAAAAAGTAGGGCCAAGCGTCGACTATAAATGTAGCGGGGAACGCGAATACGTCTCCGACGGGGAGGTCGGCCGCAGTGGCGTGGCGTGGGTATTAAAAAGATGTAAGCAGTGAAATTTTTTTTTCAAAAGTGATTAGAATATAGGTTCTATACCTAAATACCGGCCTAATTATAAATTATGTATAAAAAAATGTAATAGAGAAAATAAATAAATTGAAGTATAAATACTTCAAAAGTCTATTAGGAGAATGACAGTGACAGTGTACGTAAAAACGACTACAGTCTACAATAGTACAACGCGTC